ATGGATATTTAATAAAGCTTTAATTTAACATCTTAAAAATAAATTTAGTATGTTTACCAATATCAAGTACGTAAACTGTTCATATTGTAAAATAAAACACACACAGAATTCCTTACAGTGCATTTCTTAGCCTATTGAGTCATAATGACTCTCAAGTATAATTAGGAATCAGACATTGTGACTCCAGTCTCGTTCTATGTTTCTAAGCTGTAAGCTCATTCCTGACCCAAGAGGATGCATTTATGTAAAACTATCTCCCAAGCATAATGACTGAAAAATTGATCAGCGTTTCTAATGGATCTCTGATTGATGAAAGCAATATTATTTCAAGCTCTGTGAACTATAATCTTTATGTATTAATTATTACTCATTTTAATTAAAAGTAGTTCAAACTCTAATTCAGTTGTCAGGTATATTTTAGATAAAGACAATGTATTGACTTGGTAAACTCAAATTCTCTGAGATAATTTTAACTTTATACCATACTACTATAATGTACATCTATAATTTCTTTTTGTCCAAATTAACTTTTCTGTATTGTAACAGATCTAGAGAAAACAATGTATAGGTAATAAGGAGAGAGACCATACCCAGTTTCCTCTAGTATTAACAATTTGCATTAGTATGGTCCATTAATCCTAATTAATGAACTTGTATTTATTACATTATTATTATTAACTAACTTTTACATTACATAAGTGATCATCTTCAGCTCTATTAAAATTTTTGTGCTTTGTTTTTCCATTTAAATGTATAGTCCACAGAGAAATCTCAAATCTTAAAATAACTGGATGCCTTCCTGATAAAAACATCCTGTTATCTAATTAACCACCCAGCAGGTTTAGGGAAGGGGAAAGAAACTGTACTTATAGATGGGCCAAACCCCATCATTAGCATCTTCTCTGCATATGTTAAAGAAATACAGGACTTTATTTTTAGTTGCCCACTGGAACCCTGTCACCCTGCCATCTCACCAGTCTTGTACTATAATTTCCAATGAAACTTAGATGCCAACCAGAACTTTTTTTTTAAAGTTATTATATTAGTTAAATAAAAGGAAGTTTCTCTTCTCTAGTCTAGATGATAATAATGGAATCTGATCAACATCTCTGTAACTTACTTTCCAAAGACTATGATGTTTAATAGGTACTTAGTGTGTTTGTTCAGTTTTCCCTGATCAGGAAAATATTGTGCATGGTACCATTCACATCAATCACCCTTCACCTCTATTGTTTGAATGTACTTTAGTCATTCAGGAATTGTGTGTTGAGGATGTGCCTGGACAGAGCAAGTTGGGGGGAGGAGAAAGAGAGAGAGAGGGAGAAAGAAAAAGAAAAGGGGAGGGGAGGGGAGAGGAGGAAAATGAGCACAGGAATATTGGAAGTGTGGAACTGTTAATGGATATCTGAGTTTATGAAATCTATTTACCTGGATTCTTGCCAAGTAATTCTTGCAAAAGGTGACAATTTACCATTGAATACAGATTATGCAAAAACACCAGTTTTTCAGGCAGGTAATCTCATCCCTTCATCTTTAGGATTTCCAGAAGTGATGAGCAATCCCTGAAGCACAAGTGCCAACTGTGCTAACTGCCTTACTTCTCAGAAGGGTCACTGACATCTGGACCAAATCTCCTGGTTTGTGATCAAAGTTCTATATACAATACCAAACTTGGTCTAAGCAGTAGAAGTGAACTTAGCTTCACTGAACTCACCTTAGACCAAGAGCAAACCCATGTTTACTGAGCCTATGAAAACCCAAAAGGTGGTTGGTGTTGGTTTGTTTCCATTCTACTAAACCATTCCCTCTTTTAAGGATAATTTTCACATATTTCTGATTAAATTTTTTCAAGTCCATTTTAATAACATTTTTATTGAGGTATAGTTTATGTAAGATGAAAGTCACCATACTAAAGTGTACAATTCAGTGGTTTTTTGTATATTCACAAAATTATGTGACCATCACCATTATCTAATATTATAGCATTTTTATTAACCTCCCAAAGACTCTATACTTCTGAACCCCATCTTATTTTTAAATTTGTATATGCAGTCTTTCTTATTTTTTCATTTCATTTCTTTTTTCTTTCTTATTTATTTATTTATTTGGGGGATAGCACTGAGGACCTTGGGCATGATATTCAAGTGCTCTACCACTGAGCTACATCCTTACTACTACATTCTTTTTAAAAAAAAATCTACTTTTAGTTTCTATCAAAATATATATCTCCTTTGACTGAAGTAGAAATATAGAACTCATGAGGGCAAATAATGTTAGAAAAATACTTTAACAGCAAAGGTCAAATAAGCCAACACAAAGTCAATTATCAATTCCAATTTTCTTCTTAAGCAATAATGATATTAGCTTCCTGTGGCCAGCAGAGTATTCTTATCTCATTCTTCAGTGTTTACAATTATAAAATTCCATGTCATCTCTTTTGGGGAAGTTACTGGGGTTTTTGAACATTGGACCTTGGGCTTACTAGACGGTTCTCTACCATTTGAGTTATGCTCCCAGCTCTTTTTTACTTTGGTTCTCTTTTTTAGATTGGGTCTCACACTTTTGCCTGGGATTGGTCTTGGACCAGGATCCTCCTACCTCTGCCTGTTATAGGGGCTATAGGTGTAACTAATATACTTATGGACTGTGTCAAGTCCATAAGCAGAGGTGCATTATTTCCAAGTTTGCCATTGCATAAGTTCCAATATATTCTCGCCTGTAAAAATTTGCTGTATGTCTACCTACTTTCAAAGTCTTTTAATTCTCCAACTTTTCAAGTGAATAAAGAAAGTGAAAAACTTCCTGAAATTTATATAAAAAATGTATGAAAGTGCAGAGCAAGTCACCACTTCTTATCATCACCCAGATATTCTGCTGTCACATACCATATCTCTGCCTCTGTTTCTATACCAAGGTAGAAAAAAGTGATACAGTTATGTATGTTAATTGTATGGTCCTTTATGACAGAGAAACCAAGTTTGTGTTAGCTGATAACTCAGTGTGATTAGTGTCCATATTTAGAATCTAAGTTCCTTGAAGACAAAATTGTATTTTCTTCTTATTCTCACATCTGTGACCATTTGACATAGTAATATGGCCAGGTGAAGTATTTGGTAAAATACATAAAGTCATGTGAATAAGGATGGGTTATCAGATTAAGAAGAAAATGTGATGATATATGCCATGACATGTCAATTACATTATCAACCTTAAAAAGAACATTTTTCCGAAAGGCTGAATTTTATAAATTTTTAAAGCATCATTATATTTCAATATTTTGTCTTGTTTTTAAAGTGATTTACCATGTCTTTTCAAAATAAATAGTTTTCTGGTAACAGGTTATATTTGTACTATGCCCAAGTAATTGGGAAAAGCCATCTATTTTGTTCAAAATTGAAGTTTATTTTGTTTGACGTGAATAGGAAAATCCTGAGCATAAATAATTTGTTTTCAGAACCCCCCAATCCATCTATGTATCTTTCATTGTCACTACTACAATTTAAATATTTATATTTACTATTGGGGGGGCAGAGAATATGGCGCCTCTTAAATCTCCTTCCCTCTGTGTGTGATGACACCACTTAACATACATACAATCTGTCAAGCTATTCACAATGGGTTGCCATATTAGAAGTTGATGTTTCCCAGCTCTTAGACAAACTTGCTGCAAAAAGGAAAAGGAAGAAGAAAACTCACTTTTATTTTCTAATGGAAGAGTTATGAAGTTACTTTGACTTCTTAAAATAATGTTTATAATTTTTAAAATAAAACTACCATTTATATATTCTTTTATTTAAAACACTTCAAAACAATGATATATAAAGTATTCAAATTCTGATTTTTATTTCCTGTAGTTTTTGAAACATTTTTGCATTAGAATGTAAATTAGAGCAGTGATAGTCTGAATGCATATAATACAAATTTTTATACTTACTCTATCACAAAAACTTCCCAAGTTCCTTTTTTTCTCTTTGTTCTTCCCAAAAAGATTTTCATGAATTGCTTTTAGTTAAAAATAGAAACATATTTTTCTGACTTAGAAATAATACCTACTTATTGAAAGAAAATGAACTATGTAAAATAAAGTAAAACAATCTCCCACTGCCTCCTTTCACATAAATGGTCCTCCCCAAGAACAAAAGAGAAGCAGAGGGTGCAACTGTGGTAAGAGATGTAAGAAAGAGGGCAATCAGAGATACAAAGGAGAGCTCAAGAGTGTTGTTACCACAAACAATGTCATAAAGACTTAGAAAAGGAACATTGGGTTTCATTTTCCCAAAAATGAATACAATAAAAGGAATTGAGAAAAACTTCTTCAGGAGATTGTCATTTTTCTTACTTTAGATCTGTGATGTGTTAGGCTCAAATTTTTAAAGATTGTTAGAAGCCATGGGAAGTAAGTCCTGCATATTGCCTGGCATATAGTAGTCACTTAACAGTTTGATAATGATACTATGAAATCATTACCTTTAATGGTTGAATATGCTTTTTGTTGTTATTTATTTGTTCTTGCAGTACTAGTAATGTAGCAGGGAGAAGGGCCAGAAGAGAAACAGACAGGCTATGTTCTGATAATGAGGCGGGGGAAGGAATGTCAAAGCAGAGAGATAAAACTTAAAGAATTAAAACATGAAGAAGGTCACATAGCACTGGGAAAATGAAATAGTCAAGTTACATGCAGCCACAAGTGGGTTGAGCTTTGTTTTCTCTTCTCTAACCTGCTTGCAAGGGTATATAAAGTGAGATCTCTTTGTTCTCAGGGCTAAGCTTTTGGACATGAGTCCTCTGGGTCTGTGTCGGCACAATAAAACATTGCTTCCTGCTCAACTGCCTCAGTGTCCCCTATCTCAGCTTGAGAGTCCCGTAACGCATGGGATTGAATCTAGGTCCTTGGGTAGGCTAGGAAGATGCTCTACCACTGAGCTACATTCCCTGCCTCTTGTTAGTTTTTAATATGTCTCCCTTTGCAACCAAACATTTAAGTATTTCTTTATTTCTACCCAGGCCTCTTATGTAAAGAGCTGAAGAGGAAATAAAATATACAGGATGAAAAGATGGCAATGTTGCCTCCCCCAGGACCTCAGAGTTTTGTCCACTTCACAAAACAGTCTCTTGCTCTTATTGAACAACGCATTGCTGAAGAAAAAGCAAAGGAACCCAAAGAAGAAAAGAAAGATGATGATGAAGCCCCAAAGCCAAGCAGTGACTTGGAAGCCGGCAAACAGCTGCCCTTCATCTATGGAGACATTCCCCCCGGCATGGTGTCGGAGCCCCTGCAGGACCTGGACCCCTACTATGCAGACAAAAAAGTGAGTGGGACATTGGTGGTAGGTTTATGCTCTCTTCCTTCTGTGTAAAAGATATTTTAAATTTAGATACGAGGAATTTAGTGAGCATCCACATCCTGACAGTATTTAAACACATATGTAGGGTATTTAGAATACATACTTTTTGAATATTTCATTTAAACAGGCTGTGGCATTGGCATGCTAATTTGATTTCTTTCATCTTTTTAAGATGTTCAATATAATGTTCTGCCTTTATGGATATGACAGACTGGTCCCCAAGTTTTATAGTTGTATCTATGTTTTCTTTTCTAATTGACTCCTGTGCATGTACAAAATAAAAAATTGCTTTAAATTTTTAATGCAACTGAAAATTGCTAATTTAAGTACCAAACTCACTCTTTTTAAATTTTTTTCAGCTTCAACTACAAGGTAACTCGATCTTGCCAAGACTGTGTAGTAATGTTATTTTCCAGCTAGTTCAGATTCCATTCATTGCTATTTGTTACATAATTGCTCATTACACATTTGTAGAAAGTCTGAATGGATGGATGGATTCTCAAAAGCATGGTTTGTTAAAATCAAGGGAAAATTTGTATTCAAGAACTGGGTACTAATTTTAAGACTAATTTTCAATTCAAAATGGATTTTATGTTTAAGGTGGTAGAAGGGAACAGGATAATAAAAGAGGATCTGAAAATAATACATTCTGGTTTGTTTCTTGAGAAAATGTGCCATATGCAAGTAGAAAGCCAGATTCATGAATTTATCTTCCAATTAGGTGAAAAATGCTTATTGCCACAAACCACTCACAAACTTATGTAAAACTCAGACAAAACAAGCAGAAGACTATGCCCATGCCTTCTTGACAACGCAAGTAGTTGCCTGCCACCTGCAAAAAAACATAATGGGGTTAAACTTGGTCCTTTTGATTTCTAAGTCAATGCCTTAGGTTGTCTTAATATTTTGTGGTCACTACTATTTGTCTGTATGTTTGCTTTTATTTCTTAACTAAAGAATAATGTCAGGGAGAATATTGCTTATTATGCAATGGGTAAAGTAAAATATTGTAAAGAATCTTTAGTTCTACTCATTATTTTAAAAAATTGCTATAAATAATAGCAAGCAAGTTCTTTATGTCTTTTTTTTAAGTTAGTAATGTACTACTTGTAATGCTACAAATAAAGCAGGGAAATTGGAAGGATTATTCCATAAATTTATGAAAATATTTTTTAAAAACTTATTTTCATGACAATTCTTAGCAAGTATTAAAATCTCAATCTGTTGTGGTAAAAATCAGAGACAGCTAGTTCCTATTCAGTTTGCTTAAAATGCAGTATAATGAAATTCAGAGAAATTGTATTTTCAATAATTTCAATAGTCGCAAATTATTGTTATTGTTGAGGAAATATGATAGAGAAGGCATTATATGTAAAATATATGCTACATATCATATATTATGTATAAAATATAAATATCATGCTTATAAGCAATACTTGCTTACAAATATCTCAATTCTTAATGTACTGAAAAGGAATGAACTTAGAGTTCACTGGCCACAGCCATCAATAGTATGAGAACCACACTGCCATTTTGAGGTCACTGTTGCTCTAATACAACACTGCCATCTGGAGACATAAACTGACAGAACCTCATGCTAGATTGAAACTTTGTATTCTCACCTTCATCCTGTTTTCTTTTTCCTTCTACAGACTTTTATAGTATTGAACAAAGGGAAAGCAATCTTCCGTTTCAATGCCACACCTGCTTTGTACATGCTATCCCCTTTCAGTCCTCTAAGAAGAGTATCTATTAAGATTTTAGTACACTCATATCCTTTCCAAAATTCTTACTTAAAATGGTAACTTAAGGTGTAGTTTTTAGATACTAGTCCTTTGTCTCCTTGAAAGGCCCTGGCTATAGATCATCAATTTCAATATAAACTGGGGCATGTTGTAGTGGGATTGGGAGAATGCCATTATTAGCATTTTAGGATATATTACTTTTATTTATTACTTTCTTGTTCATAGAGTCGAAAAAGTAATCTATAAATTCATTAAGATTATTGTCTAAGGAAAAGTTTTAGCATTTTGTCAGATGTCATCATCATCTGTGCCAAGTTCCTGTTTGGTCTTTTAATCTATCATATTCCTTGATTCTAAATCACCTTATTCAGCATGCTTATCATGTGCACTATTCTGACGAACTGCATTTTTATGACTATGAGCAACCCTCCGGATTGGACCAAAAATGTAGAGTAAGTGGGTATAAGTATATTTCAATATAGTTTTAGATCTTTATTTTTCCTGCCAGAAAGTGAGCAGCATCCATAAAAATGGTGATGTTTATCTTCCCATGGTAAATAGTTGCTTTTTTTCTCCTCTATAGTATTAACTCACTAGCAGTAATTTAGATGCTACAATGTTTTCTAGAAGAATGCACTCATCAGATCCCCTGCCCTATTCTTAAGCATGTTACATGTGTCTTATTCTTGGCTATATTTTCCATAGGAGCAATTTAGGACTTCTCTAGGTAGATCTAACACCTGTGTTCTTAATTAGGTTTTAAGTACCTCTACTTTCTGGGAGTGTTTCTAACATGTACATTTTTAAGATTTCCTGGAAAGACCTTCATTGGAGTGCATTCTAACAGCTGGAGTGGGTCCATACGTCAACAGCACCCTCCAATAGATACCTTTTTGTGGTTAATCCAAGGAAATAGTTATAAAAATTTTCAAAAGACTGTATCCTTTTTTACCCCTAATATCTCAATGGAACCTTGTGTTTAGGTACACTTTCACTGGAATATATACTTTTGAATCCCTTGTAAAAATCCTTGCAAGAGGCTTCTGTGTAGGAGAATTCACTTTCCTTCGTGACCCATGGAACTGGCTGGATTTTGTCGTCATTGTTTTTGCGTAAGTTGTCTCAGTATTTTTTTTAATGGTAAATTCATGAGAATCTCAGAACAGTATTCCAATAAGAACAATCTTTGGTGTCTGGTTTTTCCATAATTTAAAGGAAAATAAAGGCTAATCATGTATAAGTTACAAAAAGAGTATTTTCCACACAAAAGTTCCTGACATCAAGACTGATCATCTTCCTTCCTACACAGCACTGGAGATCATCTATGCAGTGCCAATTGATTCACACATTTTCCAAGTTCTTATTTAAAAAAAAACTAAAAATCCTGTAAGAAACACACACACACACACACACACACACACACACACACACACACAATTCAGGCCTTTAATTTTACTGTTTGAGAGCTAATAAGCTTATTGAAATATAAAAGAGGAATTTTTCCAAGAACAGTCACTGCATACCAAACTTAATATTAATCTACTGTATATACATTGCCTATAGTTTACGTTCAAGGGAAATTATTATATTAAGTAGAATTTTAATTTATCCTTTTTGCTACTCTTTTTCCAAATGTATTTGTCAGACACATTTTTAAAATTTCATACATAGATACAGTATTTTTCCATTATAATTTTGAATTATAGAAGTAGCCCATGTTTATTGGACCCCTTTAGACAATTCAGAATAGTTTTAAGATTTTCTAGTCTCTGATTCTTTCACCTATACTTATTTCCTTACTTACTGGACTTCCATGTTTTAAGGTCATGTATGATGGCTACAGTTCTATCTGTTTCCTGCTAAGAAAACATTTTGCAAAACTAGGTTATTTTTCTTGTGGTTCTTCCTTTTCTATTGATACAACTTATGTACCATGAAATTCACTCTTTTAAAATAATGCAATTCATTGTTTTCTAGTGTATTCACAAAGTTATACACCCATTACTACTATCAAATTTGAGAGCATTTTCATCACTCCACTAAGAAACCCTGCAGCCATAGCAGTTACTTCCACTCCCTTCTTTCCAAGCCCTTTGGAAACCAGTCATCTGTGTTTTCTTTTCTTTCACGGATTTGCCTATTCTGGACATTACATATGAATGGAACCGTGTAGTATGAAGTTTTTCATGTCTAGTCTCTTTTCACTTAGCATACTATAGTTAGTTTCTATGGGAGATTAAAAAGCTACGTGGCTATAATGTTGAGGAGCTAATATTTGAAGTATTTAATTTCTTGTTTAAGCATTTAAGTCTGTGAAACCACATCGAGTCAAATTAAAGAAAATTAGATTAAATTAGTTTGAATAAAAGACTTGCAGAACTTTATATTTTAAAAAAAAATTCCAAACATAGAAAATACCTTAACTAAAGGCACAGGTAAGTATCATAGACTCTATCTAAATTCTGAACAACTCTGATTTAATTCTACAGGTATTTAACAGAATTTGTAAACCTAGGCAATGTTTCAGCTCTTCGAACTTTCAGAGTATTGAGAGCTTTGAAAACTATTTCTGTAATCCCAGGTAAGAAGTGATTGGTGTGGAGCATTAGGCCACTCATAACTCCAACTGTTTGGGAGTTGTTCTTTGTTTGTTTGTGTGTGTGTTGTCACTGTGTTTGTGTATAAACTCCCCTATTACAGATATGTGACAGAGTTTGTGGACCTGGGCAATGTCTCAGCGTTGAGAACATTCAGAGTTCTCCGAGCATTGAAAACAATTTCAGTCATTCCAGGTGAGAGTGGGATTAAACACAAGGGCTGACTTTGATCTTTTGGAAGTAAGACAAATAAAAAATTTTGTGTGTAATTTCAGTCAAATTTCATTTCTTCCGTTTTACATTTTTTTTAATAACACAATCACTATTAAAAGTCGGCCTTTGAGTTTAATCAATTGCATGGGTGTTGGAGGATGAAAATGACCACAAGGCTTACATCTCCACTTGAAATTTTCCCTCCTGTCTAAGGCTCATTTTCCACTTACTTAATCCAGGAGGGAAACTTTCAATTAATTTTAGCTTCTTTTCATATAGTTAAGAATATCAGTAAGAAATATCAGCATGGAGATATCGCATGGCATACTGTTTTATATCTCTCTCAGCAAACCATTTCTTAATTGAAAATTTGTTCATTATAAATTGTCACTATGTGCTGAAATTCAGTTTCTTATTTATTTTGGTGCCTTGAAAGAAATGGTTTATCTGACAAGCATTTATTGAATTAGAGATCTTAAAAACCATGTTTACAAGTGAGTACGGATATGGTTTAATCAAACAAATTATTCATTTGACCACTTGACTATTTTGAGGGAATATTTTTAATTATTTTCTGTAATATATAAAATCAGGTGCATAAAAAAATGTCAATTCCACTCTTTCAAGCTAGTAGGCTTATCTAAATTAAATTACTTAAGGTCATTGACTTGACAAATGCATGCATTTCTAGGAAAGCTTGTTTTGCTTTTGTTTCTCATTTAGAGACTAGGATTATGAACCTGTCATTATGAGCTTTTTCCCTCCATTTTCAGGCCTAAAGACCATTGTGGGGGCCCTGATCCAGTCAGTGAAGAAACTCTCAGATGTCATGATCCTGACCGTGTTCTGCCTCAGTGTGTTTGCTCTGATTGGCCTGCAGCTTTTCATGGGCAACTTGAAGCATAAATGTCTCCGGAATCATCTTGAAGAAAATGAAACATTAGAGATCATAATGAACACCATTGAGGGCGAAGACTTGAAAAGTAAGAATGTAGTTGTTAATTGGTTGAAATGATGCAAATAATGCAAAAAACATTGTTGTATTCTACCAATGAACTGTTGCTTTTATTTTAATTATTTCAAACCTGTCAAATACACTGAAAGTTGCTACAGTGTCAATTTTTATCATGTTACAAATGATTTATTTTTAATAAATCTGCTTGGTTCTTTGTTTTCTAGCAATTCTGTTAACAGGAACATGGGAGTTTTATAACTTCCAATTTCTGTATGATAAAAAAGAATCAAGTTACTCTAAAGACCAATATTACTATTAGCCATTGCATTTAACTTTATGGTACATATTTCATATATTGTAGTTTATGTATATGTACACATATGTATATGTAGCTTATGGATATGTACATGAAATATACATATTTCAAATATTATAATACATACTAGTTATTTCATATGTGAGATATAATATAACTGCATTTTAACATTTAGATTATACTTGTAACTGTAACATGTTACAGTTAAATTAGTGATAACATAATGATAATATTGATTTTCAGTACTGAAATATATCTCTCTTGATAATAATTCTATAGATTAGAAGAAAGCAAAACAGTTTCCTCAGCTTTGTCAACATTATCTTATAACCAAATGATAAGTTTCATAGATGTTTCTAATGATTTCCATCAATACAATTAAACATCAGAGTTTAAGTCAGTAGAAGTAATTCTATAGGTACAGCAGGAGATGATCTGCATATAATCTCAGAAGTCAGAAGTATTTGTGAGAGGATCATTCATAAAGCATGAATTTCATGTCTGTAAATAATTATTCCATATACTGTGTTTTTCACAGGAAGTGGTGATGAATATTAGTTGAAAATGAGATCAAGATTGTACTTATAGAGAGAAACAGGAGGTGGCATACAGAAACAGTTTTACTGGTTTAGAGTTCTCCATTTGTCTTATATGGAAGTGGTCTGAGAATTGGCAGCCTGTGATTGGCTGAAGCCCAGCTGCTGTGGTCAGCTCACTCATTTACTTGTTAAAAGAATATTCTCTTAATTTAGGTTACAAATTGTTTATGTACTATATTAGGCTGCGGTTCCCTAAGTACAGAGGCAGCTTTAGACTAAGTTTAACAGTGCCTCACTTTTGGTAGATTGGCTGAAAATTTAGGCATAATGCCACTCTCTGTTGCCGTCATAACTGAATTGTTTCGTCTGAGTATGAAATTCACAGTATTCAACAACTGGTCAACAGAGTATTTTTGTTCTGTTTGTGTTTTCATTATTTTAAGTGTAGTGAGACCATTGATATATGATCTGCTGCTGCATTTGAGCACTTAAGATTCTTAAGAGAATGCAGTGCTTCAGGGAGATGGTAGTGCAATGACTGTCAGGACGTTAATACTAAGACATTGAAGTGTACCCCATAACAGGGGCCTCCACAACTAATTGATCAAAATCCAATATGTCAAAAATGATCCACAAGAATTAATTGTTTTAACCAAGTAGTTTTTTTTTTTCTTGCCTCTTTTCTTTTTTTCTTTTTGGTTGTGCAGGATATTGAACCCAAGACCTCCTGCAAGCTAGGCAAGTGCTCTACCAGTGAGCTACATCCTCAGTTCCATTGTATTTTGATGTCTTATAACTTTTGAGTTTCTACCATACTAGATGTAGTTATCAAAGTTCTGAAGGAGATGTTTGCTACTTGTTCAGCCAACGGGTAGTCCAGAGCAGTCCTATTATTTAAACAACTTTGATAAGACATTTAAAGAAGTTTGCTGGACTACAGGTTTTGCAGTAGAGTTAAGTAGATGATGTTTGAGATAGATTTCTAATCACAACCGTGTTATGCCAGAAGTAGTGTTATACCAGGGAATTCATGCCTGCTGGAAAATTTCTTTTTTATTCCATATTGCAAATTAAGAGCTATAGACCAGTGTTTAGTTTCCAATTGGCTATGGATCGACAGTGGTACTATTAGAGCCTATAATTCACATGGATACCATATTTTCTATTTATTGAAACAGGAAGTTGCACATGCATGTGGTTAAATGATCATTACATTGCTAAAATTATCCACAGATAAAAATATGTACTGAAAAGGTACAATAGACTGTTTCCTGTGAAATGCCTGGCATTAAGAGGCTCTGCTAGGCAAGTAGTAGTGACATTTACCAAAGATTCTATTATTGAATCATTGCATGTTTCATGGCAACCAAGATTTAAGGGATTAGAGCTTTAACTTTGCTTCACATTTTCAAATTATATGTTTTATTACTCAATTTTGGACAGAATTCAACTGTAGATCCCTCAATACAGGTTTTCCATACTCTTATATTTAAGCAAAGAATATGAATATTTGAGTCTGAAAACTTAATCCTAAAGAAAGGAACAAATGTGCAATTCAAATAAAGAGTCACACATAAGATATCAATGAAATTTGTGACAGTGTGAATGAGAGAATCTCTGAAGATCATGAAAGGATTTAGGTTTAACATGATATATCAACACATAGAATCCCTGAATAAGCTGTTGTTTATTAAATTCTAATTACCATATTATCTTCTACACATAAGCAGAAAAAAATACAGAGAGAAGAGGAAGGGGGACAAATTTTCATGTTGACAGAGAACAGAAGTGTTGATACATGATCTTGAGAAAGCTGCCCACATCTAGGAAACCACCTGCTTCTGAGGAGAAACCCTGTCGGTCAGTTTTAGACTCAAGTCTCCAATTGATGTATAGTTGCAAGTGTCTGGAAGGGTTCTTTTGAGTTGAAAAGCGCAGATCCAAGACTTGGAGTTCTGAAGTTTTGCTTCAGTGTGGCTGGTGAGGCAACCTTGGTATGGCCCTTTCCAACAGGACTCAAGGACAGTCTCTTGAACATACCTAATATTTATAAGCAGGTAGAGGGTGGGAAACCTGGTATTTTAAGAAAATTTTATAATTTAAGATGCTCAGCTCCACAATAGTAATGTTTAGAATTCAAACAGAAAGGACACAAGAAACAGACAGAAAAGAAGCAAACAAAGCATATAAATAGTAAAGCCAAGAGAACAAAGTGTATTTTGAAAAATGGAATTTTTTAATGTAGAATAATGTTGCAAGATAAATAAATAGTGACAATAAAATAGAGAAATATGCATTATCTTAAACAACACAGAAGTTATCAAATACTTTTCTGACAAAATTTTGTGGGTAGTAGGGGCACAAGGGCAGTTATGGAGCTGAATAAAGACAAGAAAGAAGAACAGATATTATGTTTAGACAATTCTTCCAAGAAATTTCTCTGTGAAGGGAATCAGAATCATGGGGCAATGGATAGCATTTTTTAAAAAAACATCCCTTTGATAGGATATTTTCTAGTGATAGAAATAAATGAGTAGTACTATATGGGTTAATTCAAAAGTGATAGGAAGAAGTCAAACCTCTGAAAAATTGAAAGAACAGAGAAGAGAGACATCTCTACTGAAGCAGGAGGAAAGAAGGAGGGACGGGCTGCAGAGCTATTGAAAGGTGATTAAGTTCAAATTCAAGAGATTTTATTTCCCCAGAGAAGTATAAGATGGAATAATTGGCTGGGAGTGCAAAACAAAGGTAATATTTACAGAGAGTTTGAAGGACATGCAGGATATGATTAAATTAGGGAATGGGAAATCAAGCCTATTTTGAATGCTAATTTGATATGTATGATCATTTTTTAAAAAGTAACCATTCATTTGGTTGTAAGAATTTCTCCAACTTTCATTCATTTTGCAGCAAGCATGAAAATGATGGGGGCTAGATTATGTGTAGGTAGGAATTCTGCTAGATTAGTATGATAAACAGAAATATGTATGGAAGATGAGAAATTTATAGGGCAATGATGAGAATGAGTGCCCATGGATTTCACCTGGACAAAGAAAGAAGAAAACTTGAGAGATGGTTGATAGATCATAAGAGATGGTGAGGAAGGTAGTTGGCAATCCTGAAGAGATCAAAGAATTGATCAAAGGCAACCTACACAGAAAGCTTGAAGATTATCCACAAACCTCTTCAGCGTATTTTAAAAATTCATTATCAAACAAATGAACTCAGTGTATAGACTTTTTAAAAATATATGAGTTATAGATTTCACATGATGTCACTCACTGTCTACTTTGATGCTTATCAAACACTCTTTTTGATTCCACAGATGAAAGTTTGCTTATAGGTAGCTAAATTTCCAATAAATAGTAATTAATATAGTACAGTTCTATTGGCTTAAAGTAGTATGTTTTTTGCTCTTATTTTTGAAATGTTTGACACTTAATAGAGAACGTTGTTTTGGAAAAAAGACTACATTATTGGTCTTCACTGCTTACCAAAGCTTTTCCTGTCTCCAGCTACAGTTCTTTTCCTGGTGAGACTCCATCTCACAAAAGGCAATGTACCATTTGCAGACATTCTGCCACAACTTTACCACCTGCACTAGTTTTCTCAGAGATGTATTATTCCTCCTTGTTTGGGAAATATGCCCTTTACCTCCAAAGGTCCAAGCCAAGTGTAGTTAGGTTAGGGCAGGTAGACCTAACCATAAAATGATGTTTTATCAGTTTGCTCCACTGGTCCTAAAATTAATAGTGTCCCAAAACTCTGTGTTAGAGTGTCAATTCTAGATTTTTTGTCAATTTTGACAATTTTTTTTGTTTTATGTATTTTAGTAGGAAGTGGGATTTATCCTACCACAGTGCAGAACATTTGCTATTTTACTGGACTTTTTACTGAGAACATAGTTCACATTCTATAGAATTCCCCATTAAAGTATACAGTTCCTTTTTTATTACTATATTTACAGAGTTGCAAAACCATCACCAATATCTAATTTAAAATATTTTCCTCTTCCTCCCAAAGAAACTCATTGCCAATTAGTAGTCACAGCCTATTTCTTTTATCCCCTGACCCTTGGAAAACACTAATATGTTGTCTATCTCCATAGCTTTATCATCTAATACAACTTGAATCAATCAATGTGTGACTTTTGGTATCAGGCTTCTTTCACCTAGCATAATGTTTCAAATTTCATCCATGTTGCAGTATATATCACCTTTAATTTTTTTATATTGCTGAACAATATTAAATTTTGTGTACATACAATTTTTATGCATGCATAGCAAATAGACAATTGGGTTGTTTCATTTTCAGCTATAATGAGTAATATTGCTATGAAACTTATGTACAAATTTTTGTGTGGATATATGTTTTCAACTCTCAGTAAATACCTAGGAGTAGAATTAATGAATCATAATTCATTCTTTATCTTTTAGAAATATCCTATGTGTGCTGTGTACAAAAGTGTTTTATTTTCCCTTTTCTTTAGATTTTAAAGTTGAATTCTCTTGAAAGAATTATTCTAACAATTTAATGGCCTCTTGTTTACAAATTATTGTCAAGTGTTCTGTAATACCAGAGTAGTCTGCTTCAATTGATTCACCTTTCATCCCCCTTGAACTGAATTAAATGGTAGCATGGTAGTGTTCTGGTACAGTTAGTGTGAGAGCTCATTCCTATAATGCAGTCTTTCGATGATTGGTGAACATTAAAAATGTTGTTTTCAAAGATGATTAAAACTAATCATTCCCAGTGAAATGTCTTGTGTATGAAACCTTGTATCTTGGTCCCTCAAATCCTCAGACTGCCAGACCCTTCCTCACTGAAGCGCAAGATTTGTTTTGAGAAAGGTTTTTTATGCCCTTGGTCACCTAATTTTCTTCCTCAAACTAAGATACTTCATTGTTTTATTTGCATATTACAAGTAAAACAATGTGATGGTGTATAAAAGCCAGTTGATTAAACTTTTTTGCATTGTATATCATTTATTAACAATTGCTTCTGTCTTTGGCAGATAATATACAATGCGTGGATCACCAATATTGCTTTACCTGCAATGTCTTATTTGTACTATTCTAAAACTCCATGAGGCAGATATTCTTAACCACATGTTACAGATGCAGCAGTTAAGGTTTCAAAGGCTTAAAGATAATTCACTTGAGTAGGATGAGGTGCAAGAAACACTGATATCCAAGAATATTTCACTTCAAAGTCTAATTCACTATTATTCCAAAAGACTCATAATAACTATATTTTTCTTTTAAATGCACCAATTGGGAAGTTGCAACCTCATTTAAAAGAATACATATTTGGAGCAATGATAAAAAAAAATCTTTTTTAGTCCCTTATGCATTTACTTTGTAAGGGTAGGTCTACCCAATGGTAGGAATAAGCCTTAACAATGAATGATGGAAAGTAAGAGACTTTTATCAGTGAAAATGAGCACAAGTGTACCCTAAAAAGTATAAAATGGAAAATATGCATTTATTTAACTGTCATATCCTCAACATCTGGAATTTGTAGGTCATAAAAAATACTTATTGGTGAATGAAAAATAAGGGAATTTTTGGAAAACAAATTTTATTCATTTATATTATTGCCTCGCTATTTTTTTCATTGTCTGGAATACTTGGAATTCAGTTAAGGATTCCCTTCCTTCTCTGTTCTCTCATTTCCTCCTTTTCCTTCCTTTTACCTTTACCTTTCCACCATTCCTTCCCCTTCCTTACCTACACCTTCTCTCTGGCCAAACTCCTCAAATCCCATGGTTTTGAAAAACCATCTCCTTGATACTGACTTATAGACTCCTCCGACCTTCAGATTCTCATATTGGTCAGTCTACTTTAAGGTATAGTTTAATCGCTGACAATAACCTCAAACTAAGCATAGCTAAAAGGCACCTAGTTTTTCTATTGGTCCCCTCATCTCAGTAACTGGCACCACCATCTCCCCAGGTTCTCTGTCTTGCACACACCTCAAAGTCCTCCATCAGCAATTCCAGTCCACTATATTCCATCCTCTTCTCTCCATAAACATAGCTATTTTCTGAGCTGTAGGAATTCCACCTCTTACTCTAGCCACTTACTGATCTTCTGTTTGCACACCATTATTCTATACACACAAAGCAACCACATGGCATTTAAAAATATTACTGATAGCTCATATAACTACTTCCTACTTTTGTTACTTCTAATCACACTTAAAATCTAAATTTCTTTTCATGATATGAAAATCCCTGCCTGTCTCTGCTGCCACACTCCTCCCCACTCACCACATAATAGCCAACTTCTCTATCCTGCTGATATGCTGTTCATAACTGATTGTCTTAGTTTCTTTAGAGCGTTTATTACCATGTTAGTGAAAATGTTTTAAGAACTTCATATTGATGAAAATACTTTTTTTGCTATGACAAAATAAATGGGAAAGCCAACTTAGAGGAGTAAGTATTTATTTGCACTCATATTTCAGATGGTCCAGTCTATGGTCACTTACCTCTGTTGTTTCTGGGTCTGTAATGAGGCAGAACATCACGATAGGGAGTGTGTTGTAGAACAGAGCTGCTCACTTCATTGTAACTGAAAAGTAGAAAGAGCAAGAGAAAGAGGAAGGGGCCTCTTACCTTTCAAGGGTATGTCTGCAATTACTTACTTCTTCCAATTAAGTCCAATCTCCTAAAGTTTACACCACCAACCCATTAAGCTATAAATCCATAGCTGGTTTAATGCATTCATGATGTCAGAGATCTCCTTATCTAATCATACCCTAAAGGCTCACTTCTGGATACTGTGCATTAGGGCCAGGCCTTCAACATATGAGCCTTTGGGGGAACACTTAACATCCACACCAAAACAATCACTATCTGAAATTACCATGTATACATATCTATTTACTTGTTAAGTGTTTTTCTTCACCTTCAACCTCCAACCCCATCAAACATAAAGGTAACTCCACAAAACTAGTGACTTTGTCATGTTTGCCATCATATTCACTGTGTGGTCCATAAGATATTATCAATACATATTTGATGGCTGATATATGAACAAGTCAATGTTTATTGCCTGGAATACAGCATATATATGTATATGTAACCTGTGTGTGCCTATATTTATAAACTTACTTGATATTTCATTCTTAATGCTTACACTCTGTAATGGTTTGTTGTTCAAATTCTTCCTAAACAGAATATTTTTATTATTTGGAGGGATCCAAAGATGCTCTCCTGTGTGGTTTCAGCACAGACTCAGGGTATGTAACATCTGTTTTGTTTTTAGTCTAACTGCTACAAAAGAAGGAAACCATGCTCAATTATTTTGCTGATAAGGACCTTTGATTCTATACAGTTTTAATATATCTCATTATTTTACTCATTCTATCCCACAGTGAATCCAGACTTTAAAATTTTTATAGTTACTGCACACTCCTGAATGCATAGTGAGTCAATTAAAATAAGATAAAATAGTAGAAATCTCAAATACAACAATATTCTTCAAGTTGGTTAGATAATTTCAGGATTTTATTCTTTATGGAAAGAAGAGTAGCAAAATCAACTTGTCTTTCCATACTAACGTTCTACTTATTGCTCAACTAAGTATGACTCATAGTTAACTGAGCATAGTGTATTGGATGGTCTGTACAAAAACATCCCATGCACTTGGGCAGGAATTTTTAAAGAACATCGTATTTATGCAAATATCCACTTGGCTATTTCTCCCATGTAGCAACTTCATTTTGTAGCAGGGCATTGGTTCTTGTTGTTCCTCCTATGTAGATGTATCTTCATCAGGGTGTGTGAACAATGGGATAACAAAAATCAACAAGAAGGTGTCACTGCCTCTCCCCAAAAAAACTTTCAGAACACTGGCTTTATGTAATGCCACCACAAAAAACAAGCCACCAGATTTAGAAGGAAAAAAAATCTTTATGAACTTTCACAAATGCTGACTTTGACTAATTTTAATGCTAGTTCACTCCAAGAATAATTTTTGGAGAAGCAATGTTGATATAGACCTTCATATCAATCCGTATTGATCCAAGAACTATTATATAACTCTGTTGATTATTTACAAATTTTGAGAATGATGATGATGATGGTATTGCTAATTGAACCTACCATTATTAAATGTTCTCTATGTGCAGGAAGTAGGCTAAAGAATAGATACAAATTATCTTATTTAAATTTAATATCAATATTATCCTTTCGACTATTATTACTTTGTTCTCATACAGAGAAGGAACTTTACTTTCAAGTAATTTGACAAGGTCATCAGCTAGTAATTAGTAGGATGGGATTTATACCCATTTCTTCCTGACTCCAAATAATGCTAATGAATTCTTAGTCATTACTCAATACTACCCCTCTTAAATTTGTAACTTTTCTGTAGTGCTCTTTAACTTGTATCTTAAAGACACTCTGACCTGCAATGTCTTTTATTTTTTTAATGTGTAGTCAGTGTCCAGAAGGGTACTCCTGTGTGAAGGCTGGCAGAAACCCTGATTATGGATACACAAGCTTTGACACTTTCAGCTGGGCCTTCTTAGCCTTGTTTCGACTGATGACTCAGGATTACTGGGAAAACCTTTACCAACAAGTGAGTGTCAAGAGAAGTGCGCATTTATGAATCACATGAAAGTCTGGGGCATGTTGCTACCATCTTTCTGAGTTTTTTATTCAGTTGAGAATATAGAAAACTCTATTGTTTATTACTAAAGTTAAAAATGTTTTACCCCAGCATGATTGGAGTGGGTAGCTCTTGAAATATAAATAAATTTCTTTGGCAGGATGCCTGACTTACCAAGCATGATGAGACTCTGAGTCCAAAACCCAGTACCATCAAAAATTGTTATAAATAAATTTCATATTTGATTTCTAGGTCTTCCCTCTTCCTCATTATATCATCCCATGGGGTCCTAGAAAAGTAGAAAAATGTGCTGTCATAGTCTCTCAAAATAGTCCTACACATGCACTGTTTTCCTCCTGCACCAGTGGGTCCTGAAGACATGAGGCTGTACTACTCTTAGATGTCACCAAGTTTTATTTTGAACTCCTATTTACAATTGAAGACTCAATTTACCTCACTTAATTGTTCTCTCCAAGTCAAATGCTTCCTCTTGTAGGCTTCTGTGACCCTCTAAGTATTCCTCAGTTTACAGCATTAATCTCTTGTACTATGTTTTCATTCACATCATTCACATGGCTTCTGCTCCAACTTGAATATGAACCTCTATTTATTATATATCCTCAGCATCCTGTCACAAAAGAAGAGATTGAAATGACTATTCTGTTCTTTCAACTGATAGTGAATCACTTTTCTCAGAATTGCCACAGATTCTTCTTTGGGCCTGTTTTATATTTACTTAATTTCTAAGAATATTATGAATCAACATAAAAATTATGCAGAAATACACATCACAGGAAAAGAAAAGTAATGCATTAATTTTGGAGGTGTACAGTCCAAGGAGCCCAAGCGATGCTTCTTCCTCTGCCTCCCAATGAGCTGAGACTACAGACGAATACCATTGTACCAGTCTCCAATTCTTTAAATATGCAAAAAGAAGTCAGCCTTACTAAAAATTCCAGAAATGCAAATTAAAACAATAAAACATTATTTTTCACCTCTCACAATGACAAAAATTAAATTTTTAAAAGGGAGGCCAAAACAGAGACAAATTATGAGACATGACGAGGCAGATTTTCTCATGCAATATTGGTTAACCACTGGAGAAGGTAACACAAGAATTACTATGACAATTAGAATGAATGCACTCATAGACTCAACAATTACCCTTTTAGGAAATTATTCAGAAAAAGAGGTTACTAAAAGCAAACTGAAAGAAAAAGGATTAAAAAAGCATGACATGTTTTAGAGGAAGACTTTTTTTTTCATTTAATGTCTGTATTATTTTGGTTTTTTATTTATTTTTAATTTTTTTTGGCAGTACTGGGGTTTGAACTTGGCCTCACACTTGCTAGGCAGGTGCTCTACCACTTAAGCCACTACAACAGTTGTCTGTATTATTTTGAGTTAATTTAAAGTGTAATGCATGAAGGAGGTATGTTGCATTTTTAAATTATTAATGAAAATGTTAGTTAAAAATAAATGCCTATGACATGAATAGATGAATTCATTCAATAAAGTTATTTGCTTTGCATTAAGATTAAAAAGTATGATTAATACTTCATGTTAAAGAAAGATAGGATTTTTAACAATAAAGGAATCTATAGATATTATTTGCTTCTAAAATTCAAAAGAAAGAATAGTAGCTAGGTTTAGTAAAAATTTCCAGACTATGGGAAAAACACAGGGAAGTTATTACATTATCTTACATAATAGTAGTTGAGAATCAGACCTAACTTTAGTTCAGGTTTGATTATACTGGTATATCTTTTGTACTAAAAATGTATTTTTTGAATGCTCGTTGTTTTCTATGAAGATTTAATTTTGTCCATTTATATTTTTATAACATGAGAGTATATAGAATTTATCCATGCCTAATATACCATTTACTGAAAAAAAACTCTGTATTGTTAAAATAACAAATTTCATTTTTCCTTAGACACTACGTGCTGCTGGCAAAACTTACATGATTTTCTTTGTTGTGGTGATTTTCCTGGGCTCCTTTTACCTCATCAACTTGATCCTGGCTGTGGTTGCCATGGCCTATGAAGAACAGAATCAGGCAAACATTGAAGAAGCTAAACAAAAAGAGTTAGAATTTCAACAGATGTTAGATCGACTCAAAAAAGAGCAAGAAGAAGCTGAGGTATTGTTATATGGTTTAAAATTATTTGTACAATTAGAAAAGTAAAGAGTAACAACAGAGGCCTTGTGGTCCTATGCTCAACGTTTCCCAGATACATTTTCTTTTAGTTAATTTTTCTATACAAACTGCATCTTCGTTCTTAATATAGGGTGAAGGAGCCAGTTTTGGACTGAACTAGAATTGACACCTTCCCCATACTAAACTCCATGTTGTACCTAAGATGCTCTAAGGCTGTTGCTCCTAAATCCATCACCCACAATGCCTCAATGTGTGTGAGATTATGCAGGGTCCCAAAATATAAATGATATGCTTCCCCAAAGTAACTATTGAACACAGAAGTTTAAGAAAATTATTTTAATGTTAATGTTAACAGATAGCCTATGGGGTAGAGAGCAATATGTACATCCAATTTTTGTTAATGTTGCAAGGATTTTTTAAAATGGAACCTGAAAGTTAAGAAAGTCATACTAATGGTGAGACCACTTAAGGTTAAATCACATGTCTTTGAGGATTCCTCTATAATCCACTCTCTAAAATGATACTTCAGTAGAAAGGCTGAGAAGCTTTCAAAGACAAACATAATTTCAAATATACTGCAAGAGTTCTAAAATTTGTTTGATGATTCAATCTGGTTAAATTGTCTCAAGGAATTTAATGTTACTGAATAAGGATGATAATCTGTGATGCAGAAAAACTGATGCACAAACATAAGTAGCACAGAATTTTACTAACATTAAAAAATCAGAAAACATTTACATTTTTAAAAATTAGAAAATGGTGAAAAGGATTGTGATATATTGTATCTTAGAATTTTATTTATCCATAAAATAAGGTGTTTAAGAAAAGCATATGTCATGAGAGAAATCTGGTAAAAAATAGATTAAGTAATAGGATACAATCAATTTTAAAATTATAAATATATAAAGGCTGGAAGAAATTTCAACACCAGGAATTTGGAATAGTAAGATTATGAATATTTTCTGTTATTTATTTATATATTCCCATTTTTTATAAGAATTGTTTACTTATTAAAAACACATTTTTTAAGGAAAAGGTGATTCAGGTGCTGGGCTATCCCAATTACTATTTAGAGAACCCCTAGATAATAATCAGTGACCCCCCATCATTTTCTTGAGATGCTATTATTTTTTAATAATTCATTTCAGTTTTCAAATAACTTGATCTCATTAAACTGTAGAGTACCTGATTATGTTGTTAATATTGAGTAAATTACTTGATGTATAATCTCATTATCTTTGAGTCCTATATCTCAAAGCTAGTAAAACTCTAACATACAATATTTAAGTTTGCTTTACTATAAGCAAATTAGTAACAAATAAGAGTTTTATTTCAAACTAAGATAGGGCTTTATTACAATGCAAGTGTAGAAACAAATATGTTCTGAATGCTTTTTGATCACAGTGCAAAGAAAACTGTCACTTTGTGATAACTGCCCTTTAATAAGGTTTCCCAGAATTTGGAGATGACTTACACATGTGAAATGTCTTGATCCAACAGGCAATAGCAATGGCAGCAGCTGAATACACAAGTATTGGGCGAAGCAGACTTATGGGCCTCTCAGAGAGTTCTTCTGAAACATCCAAACTAAGTTCAAAAAGTGCTAAGGAAAGAAGAAATAGAAGAAAGAAAAAGAACCAAAAGAAACTCTCCAGTGAGGAAAAGGGGGATGATGAGAAGTTGTCCAAATCGGGATCAGACGAGAGCATCAGAAGAAAGAGTGTCCATCTTGGTGTTGAAGGGCACAGAAGGGCACGCGAGAAGAGACTGTCTACCCCTAATCAGGTACACAGACACTCAGATTGTGTCATCACTGCCAGGAAGGCAGCACACAAGTTTTATTCCATGGCAGGGTGCCCCAGGAGCAGGATGATTTCACTGGTATATTTTAGGTAAAACCTATATATATATATTTTTTCACTTATGGAAAGCAGATGCCCAGTTTTCAATTTAAGTTGTTCATTTTTGAAGGGACTTACAGTTTCAGCATAACAACCTTCTTTAATAATCAAGTTTTCTGAAATGCAATATTCCTGAGAACCATTATAGAAATGAAGAGAGTGTTCACACTATATATGAACTTTTATAGTTGTAGTTAGCCAGTATTTTAAATACGTCATTAGTCAAAAAACTAATCTTAGTAATGTTAGGCTAGCTTCTCTTCTTTTTTTTTATTCCTATAGGCAAGGGTATCAGCAGAATATCAAGTACCCAATTTGGAACTTTGTAGATGCCTTTGATGTCCTCTACTTCCCACCAAAAACCTTCTTATTTATGGTCTCATAATCTGTTAATTCTGCTTCTGTGGAATTTCTCTTTCTCATTCTTGCTTTAATCACTGAAACCACCACACCTCAGGATTCTCTGTCTACAGTTCTGCGCAAACCCCTAAAATGAACTATTGTTTCTCTGTACTACCTCCACACTAATACTTCCTTCCATTAGACAAGCACCCAAATTGTTTCTCTAAAACAAAAATCTAGTTTTCCCTCAGCTTAGCTTTTAAAACAGGAAAGAAAAAAGAATTGAAAATGCTCCATTGAATAGCCACTAAGAACAAGGTCCACATCTGATCCATGCCCCTACTGTCTCCGGGTTGACTCTCCTCCCTTTCTCTGCCTCATGGCCCTTGCTTCCTCAAACTGGAGTGTTCACTCTTACCTGCAGGCTTTCAAACCTTCTGTGCTGTATTAGCTAGTGCACACATTTCTCTCTAACTCTAATCATTTTCTCCTTCATTCACCCCTGGCATAGCACCACCTGTTTTCCCCCCACTAGCTCTGTATCCTTCATCCTACACATTTTCCTCTGTTCTCCATTGTTCCAGTCTAGTCTTCCAATGCCTCACCCAGAATTATTACCCTCCTCATCTTTGCCTTCCTTTAAATTTTCCAGCCTCTACCACTTAGGTTTGCAAGACTCTGCCAGATGAACAAAAATAAAAGACAAAAACCATCCCTGTCTTCAGAGATTTCATAATCTCAACGGTGAGATGCAAGTTGAACACACGTGACATCAGTAAAAAGAAAGATGGCAAGAACAGTCAAGCTGGCTTTAAGGCAAAGACCTTGTCGTGCTCATTTTCCACTGTTCACAGTGTCTGTCATTTTGCCCTCTACATAGCAAGCACTGATGTTTATTGAACTTGAACTTGATACTTCCAAAGAATTTGTATTGGATTTTGATTTATAGAAACAGTTTGTTCTGGGCATGAGATAATTTAGGGTGACCTTTTCCCCCTCTTTGATCATGAACAACTTCTTTTCTGAGTTCTAGTATTTCATGACTTTGTAAGTTCACTGGTATTAAATGGTCTTTTAAAACACAACTTAACTGGGCTCCAGTGCATAAAGTGGAGTTGCAAAGAAGGTAAGACAAATAAGCATCAGTATGGTCTTTGACCTTAAGAATTTCAATTTCTTGTGGCACTTAGGGACTGATATATGAGAAGCTAAATGACAGTCATCAATAGTGAATTTGTTTTTAAGTGATAGATAGTATGTTGTTAATGGAGAGGTCCCTGTAAAATATCACAGTTTAGAGCTGTACAAGTAATTTAGCTGGTCCTGAAAGGATAAATTCTTCCAATTATTTCAACCTTTATTTGGGAAAAATTGTCTTCTTTCTGAACCACTTTGCTTTTAAATATGTGTCCTTTAAACTGGCAGAGTTACCTGCCCCCAGACCATGAGTTCAGTGGTAATCTTATAAAGAACATTGCTCTTTGCAGGAACTCCAGCAAATCCATGTCATTTTATTTTTTCTGCAGTCACCGCTCAGCATTCGTGGCTCCTTGTTTTCTGCAAGGCGCAGCAGCAGAACAAGTCTTTTCAGTTTCAAAGGTCGGGGAAAAGATATAGGATCTGAGACTGAATTTGCTGACGATGAGCACAGCATTTTTGGAGACAATGAGAGCAGACGGGGTTCACTGTTCGTGCCTCATAGACCCTGGGAGCGGCGCAGCAGTAACATCAGCCAGGCCAGTAGGTCTCCCCCAATGCTGCCGGTGAATGGGAAGATGCACAGTGCCGTGGACTGCAATGGTGTGGTGTCTCTGGTTGACGGACCCTCAGCCCTCATGCTCCCCAATGGACAGCTTCTGCCAGAGGTGATAATAGATAAGGCAACTTCTGATGAGAGTGTAAGGACATTTTCCATAGCTCAGGCATGGCTGGGCCCTTATTCCTGCATCATTCTCTCTGTTGGAGGGGTCAGCTCCCTGGTCTGTGAATGGCTCTGCAGTTCCCAATACTTTCTCTGTAGAAACACACCTTTAACTCATTAACCTAATCTGCATACCATGTGTTGTAGACACCTAATTCATTTTGATAAAGGCACCATTTTAATAAAGGCACCTTTCTTTAACACTATAATGGAGATTATAATCAATTATAAAAGACATGTATACATGCAATATGTAAAGTACACTGAGAATGGTAATTGCATTAGTTGATAATATGCTCCATTTCTGTAAAAACATTTAGATTCTTTACCACCTCCTGCTTTTTTCAGGTAACTAATATATATCTATTGCAAGGAATCTGATTTGAGTTAGTAATAATAACAATAAATAATAATAACAACAAACACATCTTTAGTATATCAACAATTCTGTGAGATGATGTATCACTATCATTGTTTTCGAATGGAGAATCTGAGGCAGAGGGAAATAAATCAGTTTGTCCCCATGACCCAAATAATGAATAGCTCTGAGGTTTAAATAGAAGCTTTGTGTTTCATAGCTCTTCCTAATAACCTCTATGCTTTGCTGTCTCTCCAGTAGACAGTAGGCTTTTTACCTTGGAAACAATTTAGAGTGGCTATGCTTAATTCTCCCACACAATTGAAATATACTGCTTTCATTTAAAAAAAATCTTTTGTATGCATTGAATTAAAAAAAATCAAAACACATACACTGATCCAAACAAACATAAAAACAAAACCAATACATCTGCAAAATAACAACTCCAAGAGTCTGGAAGTACTAAGTGGTTAGAGAAAAGTCTTTAATTAGGCATGCCTCTTTCTAAGGCAAAATCCTGAGTTCAAACCCCAGTTCCACCAAAAAAAAGATCTTTCTGGTTCCTGGAGTTTCCAGGATACTTCTTTAGCCCATTCACTCTGGATGTTATGCCATATTATCAAATTCAAATATCTGCAAGGCTAGGATTATCCCAGCAATCTCCCAACATATACTCATATGTTCATGTTTGTATGTTCTTACTAGCGTACTATGTGTATTTCAAGTGAGAATCAAGTCCCATCAAAGCCATGGCCACACACACATTTTAGTTTGAATGAATGCATGTGCTCTGAGGTCGTGTGTGACCTCCATGCTTGCATGATACAGCTTCAGCCTTCCTGTCAAAGTGTTTTCCTTGCAAACAAGCATGCTAAATTCCCATGAAGCTATACTATGTTATATTTTTTTCCATGATATATGTAAGTTGTAAAATATTATGCAAATTGTATCAGATTTGGAGATTATAATTTAAAATTTTTCATTTAAGAGTTTATTTTTACCACACAAAAATCAAGATCAGAAACCCAGGAATTAGAAATATAATCAACATAAAAATGTGACATAATATACAATTTAGGTGAAAAACTTGCATGACAAATGATACAATGTTTACACTAGAGACATGTCTACATGGCAAAGATTTTTTAGTCAAAGAAATTCTTGTTAGACTTGGAGGAAAATAATCTGCTTCCGGAAAGTCAGTAAATTAGAGATTTTGGCAGAGTACTATAGAATGTCACCTGCAGTTATGTGTGTATGTGTCTGTGTGTATATGCACACACATATATACACACACATATTTATACCTGTATGTCTATGTTTTGATACACATACATATCTGACTATATGTAACTATACAACTATGAAACTATACAACTTTACAACTCTAAAACTATACATTTATATGAACTGTATCAATATATATTCGTTTGTAAAATACATACCAAATATCACATTAAAACAGGTAGATGAGAGCTGTAAAGTTGAACAGTTGTGTGTATATGTGTATGTGAGAGCATGTGTGTGTGTGTGTGTGTGTGTGTGTGTGCGTTTTTGGCCTACATTGACCCAGTGTAATGTTTTAAATTTAAATTAACTTCCATGCTTAAAAATGCAAGACATTTTCACTTAAAAAAATGAATGTGTCTTGTATGCCTGAGCTCATATTCCTGCATGGCAATGAGAGAGTTGAACAGTGGTCACCTCTTTCAGATGCAGCTTAATTCTCTGTTTTGCTACAACTCCCATCAGTCTTAAGTGTTCTTTTCAAGTTGAAACATTTATCTCATATACTCAGCTCATTTCATATGGTGCTTTCTTGGCAATAAGAAACAATCATTACAGTAGCTTTCAAAAGAATAACTATGGGAACTTACTAGAGAACAGTGAGTCCTACCACTTAGCACACACAATACTGCAAGCCTTGTGCAGCCGTTCTCATGTAGGTCTCTGTTAATAAACTTCTGAATAGGTTGGACACGCAGAGACATATGGAGATCATGACAGTACTATAACAATAAAAGCAGCTAGTTGTTTTACTTAAGTATTAATCCCTTCAGCCCTCATGTAAGAGTATGAAGTGAATACTATTATCACCCTTTTTTTTCCCATGATCAAACAGAGTTAAGTTATTCTCCTAGTAGAGGCATAATTTGAACCAAACAATCTAGTCTCTACTTTTCATGATTCACTATGGCTACCTAAGCAAGATTTTATTTTCTAACTATGCTTTATTAAAATTTAAGAGTTTAATTAATCATCTCTTTTTTTTTCAGGGTACAACCACTCAAATGCGCAAAAAACGATGTTCCAGTTCTTATTTTCTTTCAGAGGACATGCTAAATGATCCCCAGCTCAGACAGAGAGCAATGAGTAGAGCAAGCATCCTAACAAATACTGTAGAGGGTATGTGATAATGTTTTTACCCAACAGTTCTTAAATAAAATTAATGTAAATTCATCTTTAAATAGGTACATGAACTCTTAGGATTCAAAGAGTATAAAATGGCTTTTTACAATAATAAAGATAACCAACAAATACTGATGGAATCATTTTTATGTGCTTAAAAAATGGATGATGTTATCTGTGAATGAAAACAGATATTGGGTAAAATGATATTTCAAAGAAAAATAACAATGATAATTGATGCATAAAGCTAGATTACTTCAGAGCTGTGTAATTCTTTCACTGTACAATCTTAGAAAGTACCTAATCTCTCTGAATTTCTCTTTTCTAATAACCAAAGATAATCAAAGGGTTTCAACTTTTAAAGATGTGTTGGCTCCCACACTGTCCCCTCGCCATATGCCCTAGGTTTGATCTTGTCCTCAAACTAACATTTCGCCCCTCACATTCTCACCATGGCCTTGAAGTTTCTTCCCACCCTATAAATTTAAGGTGAGAAGGAAAGGGGGTAAGGGGGGTAAATTATCTATTTTGTGAGACCTTCTTTAAATTATTTCTAGTCTATTGATTCTGGGATTACTTTCACTTATATACCAATAAAAGCCTTTTCTGGATAGAATTCTATCATGAGATTAAAGACACTGGGAAAATATGTATGTTGGAGAAAAACAAACATTTTTTCCTTAAGAGAACATCAGTTTCTCATCATATGTTAGTGTATTCTTATCTGAGAAATGTCCACATACCTGCTATCAGTCATTTATTTCACTACCTTCCCCTCTGCTTGATCTAGTCAGTAAATGTGACACAAGATTTTTATATAAAATGCTATGCTTTCATAGAAACATCACTTTTATGCAAAGTCCAGGCCACAAGTCTTGTTTGAGTATTAGAGTGCATTCCTGATTTGTATCTGGTTATAAAAATATATATATATACAAATGAATGATTTCATATTCTCTTGTGCTTTTCCTCCCAGAACTTGAAGAATCCAGACAAAAATGTCCACCTTGGTGGTATAGATTTGCACACACATTTTTGATCTGGAATTGCTCTCCATATTGGATAAAATTCAAAAAGTTTATTCATTTCATTGTAATGGATCCTTTTGTAGATCTCTCAATTACCATTTGCATAGTTTTAAATACATTATTTATGGCTATGGAGCACCACCCAATGACTGAAGAATTCAAAAATGTTCTTAGTGTGGGAAATTTGGTGAGTGTTCACAGTGTGCTATGTACCTACAGCTTCTCTTTCTCATTTTTGTCACTTGCCTTTTATTTTTCAAGTCAATGTCACTTCATTTGGGAAACTATACATGTCTAGAATATACTATATGAATCTATGTACAGAATCCAGCTTCTAATGATATCTACTGTTTTAAATAATTTTGCATGATGTTGAGTTCTATAAATAATACTATTTCCACTTGTGTCATCAGTTTTGGAGTTAATAGTGGGTTTTGTCTGCCAGCAAGTCTGTCTGTGCTGAAATTTTGATAGATTTTTGAATCCTTTTTTTGGTGGTGGCATTGTTGCTTGAACTCAAGGCCTTGCTGTGCCACTTGAGCCATACTCCAGCCACCTTTTAGGTTATTTTTTAAATAGGATCTGACATTTTTGACCATGATTGGCCCCAGACTGCTCTTCTGTGGCCTCTCACATAGCTGGGATCATAGGTGTGCACCATCACACCCACCTTATGAATTGAGATGGGTATCACTAACATTTTGCCCAGATTGGCCTCAAACTGCAGTCTTCTCACTCTTCACTTCCTGAGTAGCTGGAATTACAGAACATACCACCATGCCTGGCTTTTATGGAGTTTTATTCAGCCATAAAAATAATTTAATTTTCAGGAAGATGAATGGAACTGGAGATCATCATGTTGAATGAAAATAAGCCAGACTCAAAAAGACAAATATCACATCATTTCTCTCATAGATAATCTAGATTTTATAAAAGACATGAAAGCAGAAAGAGACTATTTGGGAAGAAAAAAGGGGACCAACAGGAGAAGGGAGGGGTACAAGAGAAGGTAGTATGGAGGGAACATGATCAAAGTATATTATATACTTGTATGAAAATGTCATAATGAAACCCAATATATTGTATAATTATTATAAACTAATAAAAAAGAAGAGGTGGAAAAATACAGGCAAATGTTTTAACTCTAAGTTAGCATTTTTCTTTCCTTCTCTTTATCTTTGGACAAAAGCAGGACCATCTAGTTTTTAATTGTTGATGAAGGTCTAAATCATGCCAGTCAGTACTCTTTGAGTTTACTACATCACTGTGAACTCAGAGGATTCATCATGTCTCTTATGTATGGCCACAACCCCAAGTTTAAGTGCTTCCTGCTAATCTCTTGATGCAGGAAAAAAAAATGTTTCATGGAGTCATAGACCTGCCCATTTCCATTTGAACCATCTTTGGCCAAATTCTTTTGAGTCAAAGTGAACCCAAATGAGTCACAAGCAAATTATTCACTGTTACCTCTTTAAGTGAGTATTTTGATACCAATCTCATGACTTAATATGTTTTACTATCCACTTTTATGTTGAAGTTTTAGAAGTCTAACTTTAGCTGTCACTGTGTGAGTTAAATATTTTTTCCTCTTCTAGTGATTAAATCTTTAAAAGTGAGCCAGCATCTTCTTTATTAATCTAAGAGTAGTAAGACAACAAAAAGGACTAGCTAAAAATTTCAGTATCAATCTATGTTTCTTTTTTTATCTTACTCCAAAACAACTTGTGACCCACATACATGCTTTCATGAAGAGTGACTGTTTTAATTGTCAAGCGTTTTCCTTCTCTGGAATTCTAATGTGATCTTCTTATATCTCATGATGATGAAAGCTGACAGGACAATTAGAGCATTTTAACCTTCCAAGGCTTACATGAAAGTTATAGGAATAGCTACACCTTGTCTATGGGATTAAATGAAACCATAATATCCTTTTGTAATGTATTTAGCACATTGTCTGGAGCACTGTAAATGCTAAACTAATAGTTGTTATCATCATTATATTGATTTCATACCTTCTGATAATAGCAGGAAAATATCATATGTCTTTGTAGGTCTTTACCGGAATCTTTGCAGCTGAAATGGTTTTAAAATTAATTGCTATGGATCCATATGAATATTTCCAAGTAGGCTGGAATATTTTTGACAGCATCATTGTGACTTTAAGTTTAGTAGAGCTTTTTCTAGCCGATGTGGAAGGATTATCAGTTCTGCGATCATTCAGACTGGTAAATATAAACTACATTATATCTTATACTAATGAGGCATTTTGGGCTTTGAATTATTACTATTTTTTAAAACTTTTGTGAGTTGAATTTAAAGGCAAGATTAGGTTTTTGATAGTGAATAGAATAAAGTCCATTCATTTACAAATGTCCTTACATAACTAAAATCCCATGAATATTTTAATTTTAGGATCTCAAAGTGTCCAATTCTAATTTGAAATATTTGCTAGTATAATACAAACACATTCTTACCCAAAGACATTTATTATATAATTTCATCCATTATATATCTTTATGGATTTGATAAAGATTAAATGAATTCCTCCAGAACAATGGTCTGATATCAAAAATATAAAAATAAATACTTTCTAAAGCATTTTCCCTAACATCAAGGCTTCATCCAAAAGTAAGCATGAAAAACACTACAAAAGTATTAGAAAATAAAGTTTAAATTATCAGTTCTAAAAGAAATAATATCTAAAGCCATGATAAGAAGTTTCTATCAGAATCCCTGAACTAAAAGTATACACTACCTTAATAAAATGTGCTATAATTATATTGTGGCAAGTATAACAAAATAACAGGAATATGGAAAATGAAAAATAATAATAATTGAGGTTAGCCAGACAATAATGACAATAGAATAGGTTGTGAATTCCACCTTAAACTTACAACAAAAATTGAGATTGGAAACATTTAAACATGTTTCATAATGATTAATATTAAGCTTTATGTTTGTTTTCAGCTCCGCGTCTTCAAGTTGGCAAAGTCCTGGCCCACGCTGAACATGCTAATAAAAATCATTGGCAACTCAGTGGGGGCTCTGGGAAACCTCACCTTGGTGTTGGCCATCATCGTCTTCATCTTCGCCGTGGTTGGCATGCAGCTCTTCGGCAAAAGCTACAAAGACTGTGTCTGCAAGATCAATGATGATTGCGAACTCCCACGCTGGCACATGAATGACTTCTTCCACTCCTTCCTGATCGTGTTCCGTGTGCTGTGCGGAGAGTGGATAGAGACCATGTGGGACTGCATGGAGGTCGCTGGCCAAGCCATGTGCCTTATTGTATACATGATGGTCATGGTGATCGGAAACCTAGTGGTATGTAACAGATGTTCACATATTTCAAATTCTCTATTGAAAGTATTTTATGATGTTATGGTGTGTTATTTTTATAATTTCAAATTAATTGGATCTCAAATTGTTAAATATAATGGATACTAAAGAAGAAGAGGGAAAAAAACCAAAAATAGTAATGTAATTTCTGTGGCTAGATAACCTGTGCTTATATTTTTAAAAACACTTCGTATTCATTTTAATGTGGTTTCCAATTTTTTCTCTTATTTTGATAGTGATGTCATGAATCAAATCTGTGGTTTTCTTGTCACTTAACAGCTATGTGATCTCTTCAGACATGAAACTATACTACTAAATAATTCATGATTAAGTTAACATAATAGATGAAAGCAAATGAAAAGACTGGCAGGGTAATGATCAGAAAACTATGGCCCACAGAGCAAATCCAGTCCAATGCTTGTTTTAGGATGGCCCAATGAGCTAAGAAGGAGTTTTATAGTTTTAAATTGCTAAAAAAGAATCAAAAGAAGCTGGGTACCAGTGGCTCACACCTATAATCTTAGCTACTTGGGAGGCTGAGATTTGGAGGATGGCAGTTCAAGACCAGCCCAGGCAAATAGTTCATGAGACCCCCCCATCTCCAAAATAATAACAAAGCAAAGGACTGAAGGTGTGGCTCAAGACTAAAGTACCTGCTTTGTGAGCATGAAGCTCTAAGTTCAAACCCCAGTCCCACAAAAAAAAAAAGGAATCAAAAGGATAATATTTATAGCATATGTACATTACATGAAATTCAAACTTCATTGTTCATAACTAAAGCTTTCTTGGAAGATGGATATATTCATTCATTTATATTTTGTCTATGGCTGCTTTTATTCTGTGGAGGAAAAGATCCTATGTCCTATAAATATTCAAATATTTGCTATTTGCCAACCACTAGTCCATACCATTTCTTTTACCTAACAATATTCCTATCTTTCCAATTAACATTTTCTTAGCTTCTATTTGTTTTCTGTGTCATTCTTCTTTATGCTGATTGGTAGAAACTTTAAGGCTTATAAACAAGAGAAAATTGGGGTAAAATGGTTTTTCATAAGCTATTCCATTCAATTTTCAAATCTACCATGTTGGCATGTCTTAATGTTCTGCTTGACTTCAAATCACTCATCAGTTATCCCAGAAGGTAGGATACAATAACAACCCTATGGTAAGTACTTGCACCTCCCATTGGCAGGGAGAAAAAAATGTGTTACTTGTTTTTGTCCTTGCAGTTCCCATATAAATACTAATTCACAAGTCAGGACAGAAACCTACATTCATCAAATCGCAAACTATGTGAGAGTATGCCAAAAATGTACAGGGCGAATTATGTTATGCAAACTCTAGACTCCCTTACTGGACAAAAAGTCCACATCATGAATTTCCATTCTGTAATTCTCGATCATCTTCAAGCTGTAGTGATAAATTTTTAGCTTTATATAGGTTTATAAGCATTTCCAATATGCAATAAAATACATATTTTCTTTTGTTATTTGAGCTTAAGTTTTTATCTTCTTGTAGCAAAGTTTATTGTATATTTCTTCTTATAAACTTTTAACATAGACTATTGAAATAGTCAAAGGTATAAGTTGTGAAATATGCTATACTAAGATAAGCAATTAAAGTAATTTAAATATTTATTACTTAGCATGTGGAAAAGGTAGAGATTTATTGGACTCTCATCAAGTTATTTATTTAATATTTTAGTAAATTCTCTGTAAAAATAAATATAGTTAGGTATTGTTTAGGTATGACTTACGTAGGAAGACAAAAATGCCTATGATGTAATCCTTGTCTTCAATATGCTTATAGTCTGTTAGGACACACAAACATGAAACAAAAATCACTGGACAAGGAAGAAGTGATAAGAGAAATTAGTGAGTTTGAAAGAAAATACTTTGGACACAGAAAAAGAAGAGAAACTTTAGATTGAGAATCAAGGAAAGGTTTTGAAGAATACATAAAATATTATTTAAGCATGAGCACGGGTGTGAAGAAAATGTTTTTCTTTGAAAGGCAATATAGATTTATAGTACAAACAATGGCTAATCATATAGAATTAATAATAACTGATTTGTATTATCACTCATTAGTTATTGATCCATAATAAAAAAGAAATATAACTCATAAAGTTGATTTTTAAAATTCTTGAATAATTAAGAAAGTACCAAAAATATGAAATTAGAATCTGAGAACAAATTTAAAAATTATGTAACTGATATAGACCTCCATATTAGAGGGTATATGCTAAATTAGTCTAATTTTTTAATTCATATTTATTCTTCATGTCAGTTTACTATAAATTAATTAAAATAGCTAAGTTTTAGAAGGAAGTTTAGAAAAATAAAAGATTTTACTTTGCTCAAGTCTATCAGGATACTGATCAAGGCCATAATTGACATGAGACTATAAATCCAATATTTTAAATGAATATTTTCTTTCTTAACATAGAAGTGATATGACATAGTCTTTTATTTTCATTTGTGAATATACTTTTATTTTTATTTGTGATATTCATTGAATTATTATAAAATATTAAGATCTTAATGATTTTTGAAATAAAAAAATTGTTACAGTATCATCTCAGTAAATTGACACAATATAAGCATATTATTGAAAAAATATTCTAACACTTGTGTTGAGTAAGTAGACTAATGCTATAGAGTAGATCTTTGGATCTTCATCAATATTAAAACCAAAACATACAAGCATATTTCACAATGAAATATGAAAAGGACCAGAATTAAAACAAGCCATTTAGTATTCCTTAGTAACTACCAAATGTTTTTTCTATGATTCTGGGTTAGATTATGCACACTGTGATAAATACCTATATAAATGAACTTAGGGAAGGGAAGATTTATTTTGACTTACAGTTTGAGAAGATTCAGTCCATCATGGTGGAGAGGGTGTGTTGATGCAGAGAAGCTAACACCATGGTGGCCAGGAAGCAGACAGAGAATGTATGGACTTTTTTCTCCCTTGTCCCCTTTTATTTCTTTCAGGCCTGTGGTCTAATGGATTGTGCTACCCACACCCAAATCATGTCTACCCCTTAGTAAATCCTCTCAGAAACACTCTCACAGACACAGTCAGAACTGTTTCACTAATCTCATAAGCATTTCTCAATCTAATCAAGTTGACAATCAAAGTTAACCATCACTAATTCTTAAGACTCTACCTCAAGAAGTTTCTTTGACCCACAGTTTTAACTTGCTTTCTTACATTTACAGTTTTGACAAATTGTTTTAAGTATGGCCAAACATAGAGGTAAAGTCATTTTCCAAAAGTGTAATTTTGATTTATTTTATAAAATATGAAGTAGATGATTTGGGCCATAAAGAGACATATCTAATGGTAATTCAATTATGGTTTTGTTTCCTAAATAAAATTGTTTAAATATAATTTACATGTTTCCTGCTGTCTGTGACAATTCCTTTTTAATACTTGGAATTCGTCAAGGTCCTTACTTTAGGGAGGAATACCAGAAATAGGCTTTTCTTCAATGGTACAAGTTGTCCTGACCTCTTCTGTTACCTCTTCCGGGATCAGTTTTATAGGCAATGAAGTCAGCAATCAGTATAATTTTCTTATATGAATCAGGATCAATGGATGGGTCCCCTTCTGTACTTTAAAGGCCACATTATGTTGCAATCTAGCATAATACTTGAAAAAAATTTATTACAGGAACTTTGTTAGTATTATTGGGTTATTTGTTGCAATGAGTGACATTTATCTTCTGGGAAAAGTGAACAAATATCTTGTCCTGAATGACTTCAGCACAATAGAAAATTGTCCAATTTCCTTATTCCATTTCTTTCTCACAAGTAACAACAATTACAAGTGATTGTTAGGAGAACACTTTAGGTTCATTGAAGGAAATTTGACCAAGGCACTCCTGTACTTAGAAATGACATGGTGATAATGGTGAGGGACCTGTATCCTCTCCCATGGTTGTTCGCAAGGGCAAGGCTGATTCTCTGCTCCCCAGAGTCCTCAGGCCCAGAATGTAGAGAAAGTGTTGAGAAATTTACTCTCTCCTCCACCTCTCATGTGTACTTATCTGTTTGTAAAAATGTACTTCATCTTTTCTTCGTTGAGAGTACTTCATCTTTTCTTCATTGAGGGTATTTATTTGTGGGCTAAATTGGAGAAAAGTGTGCATATTTTCTTTTTAATTTCTTGTCTCTCTATTTCTTTACATACCATGCCTACCCTGATACAGGTCCTGAACCTATTTCTGGCTTTATTATTGAGTTCATTCAGTTCTGACAATCTTACAGCAATTGAGGAAGACACTGATGCAAACAACCTCCAGATTGCAGTGGCCAGAATTAAAAGGGGAATAAATTATGTGAAACAGACTTTACGTGAATTCATTCTAAAAGCGTTTTCCAAAAAGTCAAAGATTTCTAAGGAGAAAAGACAAGCACAAGATGTAAGCAACAAAAAGGAAAACTGTATCTCAAACCGTACACTGGCTGAGATGAACAAAGATCACTATTTCCACAAGGGAAAAGATAAAGTCAGTGGTTATGGAAGCAGTGAGGACAAAAACTTGATGGAAGAAAGTGATTATCAATCATTCATTCATAATCCCAGCCTCACAGTGACAGTGCCAATTGCACCTGGGGAGTCTGATTTGGAAATCATGAATACTGAGGAACTTAGCAGTGATTCTGATAGTGACTACAGCAAAGAGGTAAGGTTGCTTTCTACATGTTTCTTCACATTAACTAGTATTAAGTGCATCAGAACTTCAGATCTATTTTGTCTAACGTTATATGTACTGATGAAGAGGTTTTTTTTTTTTAATTTAACTCTGAAGTTCATTTGCTAAAGTTTTCTTACTGGTTCTTAGTAATGGATTTCTTAACTGAGCTGTATTTGAAAGCATCAGATATCCTGAATCTTCCCGTACTTTATCTCATGTTTGTTGGCAGTTGTAAAGTCACATGTAACATCTTTCCACACAAGGTCTGTTGAATCTACCTCTCTTATTAACCTTTGCACCCACTACCTGCCTAACCATTACACATTGAACCTATCTTGTCCCTCTGCCTCCACTTTCTGTAGTCTACTTATTTGATTAGTTTTACTCTTATTCAGTGCAACTCATGTCAACCTATGATATATCCATGGTCGGGTCCTCAGTGTCTCCTAAATTATGCACGGGTAGGTAAAGACTTCCTACTAGTGCCCAAAACAGCTTCGATCAACTGTGTCTCCTGATGCTTGCTTGTAGATCCGTGTCCTGTACCAAACTGATTTCCTTCTAGGCCATGAACAGTTTCTACCTGTATGATTTTGCTTGTGAGTTCCTTCTGTTTTGAATCCCACATGATTGTATCCTTCTTCTTGTATTTATAATAGACTTGTGTTTTCATTTTTTGAGAAATTATGGCGGCACTGCTTTAAAGTTTCAAGATATTATTTGATAATAATTTTCTTTTCTTTAGGTCATGTTAGAAATTATTTCACAGATATTTACCAAATATTTTCTATCTTTTTTTACCCTACTAAGACCTGCTCTTCATGAATTTATATTGGATTTGGAAAAAAGATTATATGGAATAATAATGACTAATATACAACCATATATATGGATATACATACATACATATATATACATGTATACATATATAGTCATTGTCATGTATGTAGTAAATGCTCAATATTACTTATTGAATGAATAAAGTATCAAATAAATAATGAGTGCATATTTCTAAGTAGCTAAAGAAATTCTTTACAAGGTAGCAAAGTAAGGAATAAAATGCTTTCTTTGTAAATGTTTAAATCCTTTACAAGGAAGAATTAATAATCTCCAAAAAATTCTCATTACATCTTAAAGGTAAAAAGTCAGATTTCATTTACACCTTGTCAGCAGCAGATATCTGAGTTTTGTTTCATATGTAAAAGGAAATTAAGTTACCACTTTTCTGCTAACAGAGATGAAAGATGTAAAACCCCAATTACTTGACAATTACTCTCTAAATAAGAGAACACACGTCAGGAGTTTAGGAAAGTCAACCAAGATCCCAAAGATACTTCTTAATATTTGAGAAGAACTATTTTTAGTCTGGTCATTTTCCATTTGTTCAACATCAATGACTGACCTTACAATGGATTGGCTTAGATGCTGACAAAATCCTTACACTTAGTATATTGAGTTACATTTTAAAAGGAACCTTATAGATCTTTCTATTTAACACTTTGTTTTCTAACTGAGAAAATAAACTCTGTAAGAGGAAGTGACTTCATCTACAGTTGCAAAGCTGGCCTAAGGCAGAGCCATGACAAGAATTCTGCTCTTGTGATTCACAGTTCAGTGACATTTTTACCTCCCTCCTCTGTCTTTGACTACTTGAGAGGCAAAACACAAATTTCTATTGGATTTAATATCCAATTTATCTCCCCTGGGTTACAGAACTTACATGCTTTTTGGTACACAGAAGAAGGCTCTGATGTCAGTCACTGGATATCTTTTATAATTAATTATTTGATTTATAGCATATAAACAGACAATTTGAACCATCCATAAAGTTACCTTGCCACTTTCCCAAAGAATACTTGCTAAAAAGTATGAAATATCTTCCAGTTGATATTAATATTCTAATTTTCTTGATTGTGGTTTGTTTCTTTCCTACGAACAACATGGTCATATCTATATGCTGAAAAATGCATATTTTATTGTGTTGTATTTCTGTAGTCTATACAGTATAATATATAAGACCTTGATGCTACCTTGGAAGATGTAATAAGGAATGTATGAGCTTATATTTCTAAATCATTTAGCACAGAATTTGAGAAAGTAAGCCCAACAAATTAGTTTGTTATTATTATCCTTGAATTCACCACCACTTTTATCACCTGAAAGTTCAGATTCTCAGTACCACTGACATAAAATTATGGATTTTGAAATTTTTCACTTTTTCATAAGAAATTTTCCACTGCATATCTCAAAGTGTCATCTTGAGTACATTTGAGGCTGACAATATACTGGAAATGGCAGTAATAATGGCTCAAGCTACAGAAAATTTTAGATAAATCAAAAATATTAAGCTATGGCCAACTGTGGAAACTCTAGGTCTTTCTTTCTAGCTGCTTTAGATTAAATGTTATTGGTACGACTTTTGAATTTTTGTATTGTTTAGTTTCTCAATTCAAACCACTAAGAAATGCAGATTTTCTTTATATAGTTAAAGTACAAACTCTTTCATGAAAACCTTCCCTGCTGTAATCCCCATAATCATCAGCCCCCACTTTAATTTTCAGATTCTTAATATAATTATTACATCCTTTGCAATTTTCTCCTTTTTCCATTCCTTACATGGAAAATAGTGAATGTTACATGCCAAATGAAGCTTGATAAGCTAAAGAAGCAGATTTTGATTAATCAATACAAACTCACTCCAGTTTCCGTACAGTTAGGTGATTTAAATCTGAAGAATGTTCACCTCAAATCCTAGCTTTGATGCTTACTAACAATGACATTGAGAAATTTACAAAAACATCTTTTTCTTCAGTTTATTCACATGTAAAATAGAATCAGAAGATTCTAATAGAATTGTAAGATTGTATGACTCAAGTAAATACACAGTGCTTATTAAAAACTAAGTGCCCGGAGCTTGTTCTGGGCCATATCCTCTGAGCTATGCCTTAACATGAATCCAGCTTCAGGATCTTTATCAAGTGTTCCTGGTCACCACTGTGGTAGATTAAGTTGGCATGGACACTGAACCAAACTATATCCCCGGCCTAGATGCAGGTTTCTGAGATATCATTTTCTTTATTTAAGGACTATTAAATATTTCTTTATTTGCCTATCTAAGGAGCTGCATTTGTAACAAAGGGAAAGAACATTACTGACCTTTGGCTCCCTCTAATACCTCCCTCTTTTTGGCTTAGCATCCTATTTCCCCTATGTCTACTGTGTAGACATTTAAGTCCCTTTGTAGTGTTAATTCTCAGGCAGGCAGGTTTGCTTGTCCACATAGATGGTTAAATATGATTTTCAGAATCAAGTAAAAACATATTATAGTATAATATCTTGCAGAAAACGACAAAAGGCACACTGTCATCTCAAGAGTACACATAAGAGCTAAACTCCTGTCATGGCATCTCAGAATGCAGGCATTGGGTTCATGGCTCATCCCAGTCAGCCTCCTCCTGAGGTGCAGTGAGCCCCTAAGCACCCAGCCAACATGAACACACTACACAGATTTTACCATTAGCCACGAAGTGCTTTCCCATTACAAGCCTCAAGTGAAGCATGAAATGCACCCATTTATTTGATAAATATTTATTGCAACTTACTATGCTGCAGGCATGGTAGTGAGTTGCTGAAGGAAAACAACCCTGCTCTCATTCAGCTGTAAAAAATTAATATCTGGTTTAACTTGCAAGTGAAAATATAAGAACTTGGGATCTGGATAGATGAGGTCATGTGTTGGTTTCTGAGAGCTTAGAAACAAACATGATGACTCAAAACAACAGAAATTTATTCTCGTTTCTGGAGGCTAGAAGTCTGAAATCATGGCATTGTCTGAGCCACACTCTCTTTGGAAACTCTAGGGAAGACTCCTTCCTTCTTCCAAGGTTCTGATGGCTCCTTGCAGCTGCGTCACTACAGTCTCTGGCCCTGAACTCCTGTGGGTCTCCCTAAGTGTCTCTGTGTTCTCCTTTTCTTATAAGGACACCATTTAAATTCTGTTAGACTCACACTAATGACCTCATCTTAACATAATTATATCTGCAAAGGCCTTATTTCCAAATAAGATCACTATCAAAAGTACCAAGGTTAGGACTAAAATGTATCTTTTTTTGGAGGGAGAGATGCAAGCCTTATACAAGATTTGACTTAGAAGTCATAGTGGCTGTTCATGCTGTTGAAAAATCCACAGTAGAATAAAATTAGAGAAGGAGAGGGAAGTTACAAAGTTCACTTTGGGGCTTCTTACTTTAGAGCTACATGCAGGACAGCCAAAATGAAGCTGACAGTCAATATCTGGAAACATGGGTCTAAAAGAAAGAGAAATCAAAGTTGCAGACAGGTTGGAATTTTGTATACTGACTTATGTTAATCGTGGTGTTATTCAAAGAGAAATCTCTGTGTAGAAGACTTCCTGGGGAGAGGCTCAGGAGCAACACTTAACATCTGGAAAGAGTGAAGGGAAGAAGAGGTTGTGCTGCAGCAATTGCAACAGCTGTCTCAGTTGCACCTAGAGCATTTCTGGTGCTAGGATGACCCTTTGGAGAAGACCTAAGTGAAGCTAGGGATCAGGCCGGAACCAGACCAGTCATACTCCTGCTTTGCTTCTTCTTCTTTCTTTTTTTTTGTGGTTGAACTCAGGGCCTCATGCTTGATAGGCAGGCACTTTACCACTTGATTCCTTCCACCAGCTCTTTTTGCATTAGTTATTTTTGCCTGGACTTGCCTGGACAATGTTCCTCCTCCTTGTGCTGCTCATGTAGCATAGATGACAGAAGCTACCACACCCACCCATAGGCTGAGATGGATCTTGTGACCTTTTAGCCTGGGCTGACCTCAAATCACAATCTTCCCGATCTCCACCTCTAGAGTAGCTAGGATTATAGATTTAAGCCAATATGCTCAACCTTATTTCTTATATTTATGTATAGTAGAGAATACATTAAGATTTTCTATGACTATGCCTAGCATTGTGATAGACTCTTTCTCTG